TGTCCAGCGGAAATCGCATCAACACTGTCACAAGCTATAGAATGAATCGCATCAGCCTGTCACACAAGCATGAAATCGCATCAACACTGTCAAAAGCATGAAATCGCATCAAACACTGTCACAAGCATGAATCGCATCAAACACTGTTCACAAAGCATGAATCGCATCAAACACTGTCACAAAGGCATGAAATCGCATCAAACACGTGTCTGATGCGTTTCATTGCTTCCTGTGACAGTTGTTTGATGCGTTCTTGCTTATGTGTGACAGTGTTTGGATCGTTTCATGCTTCTGTGACAGTGCTTGATTGCGATTTCATGCTTCTGTGACAGTGTTTGATGCGATTTCATGCTTTGTGACAGTGCGATTCATGCTTGATGCTTGATTTCATGCTTTTGTGACAGTGTTTGATGCGATTTCATGCTTTGTGACAGTGTTTGATGCGATTTCATGCTTTGTGATAGTGTTTTGATGCATTTCATGCTTTGTGACAGTGTTTGATGCGATTTCATGCTTTGTGACAGTGTTTGATGCGATTTCATGCTTTGTGACAGTGTTTGATGCGATTTCATGCTTTGTGTGACAGCTTTTATGCGATGCGATTTTCATGCTTTTGACAGTGTTTGATGCGATTTCATGCTTTGTGATGTTTGATGCGATTTCATGCGATTTCATGCTTTGTGATAGTGCTTTGTTTGCTTTGTGACAGTGTTTTGATGCGATTTCATGCTTTGTGATAGTGTTTGATGCGATTTCATGCTTTGTGACAGTGTTTGATGCGATTTCATGCTTTGTGACAGTGCTTGATGCGATTTCATGCTTTGTGACAGTGTTTGATGCGATTTCATGCTTTGTGACAGTGTTTGATGCGATTTCATGCTTTGTGACAGTGTTTGATGCGATTTCATGCTTTGTGACAGTGTTTGATGCGATTTCATGCTTTTGTGATGTTGATGCGATTTCATGCTTTGTGACAGTGTTTGATGCGATTTCATGCTTTGTGACAGTGTTGATGCGATTTCATGCTTTGTGACGTGCTTTGATGCGATTTCATGCTTTGTGACAGTGTTGATGCGATTTCATGCTTTGTGACAGTGTTTGATGCGATTTCATGCTTTGTGACAGTTGATGCGATTCATGCTTTTGTGATGTTTGCGATTTCATGCTTTGTGACAGTGTTTGATGCGATTTCAGACACTGCTGATGCGATTTCATGCTTTGTGACAGTGTTTGATGCGATTTCATGCTTTGTGACATTTCATGCTTTGTGACAGTGTTTGATGCGATCATGCTTTGTGACAGTGTTTGATGCGATTTCATGCTTTGTGACAGTGCTTTGATGCGATTTCATGCTTTGTGACAGTGTTTTGATGCGATTTCATGCTTTGTGACAGTGTTTTGATGCGATTTTCATGCTTTGTGACAGTGTTTGATGCATGCTTTGTGACAGTGTTTGATGCGATATGCTTTGTGACAGTGTTGATGCGATTTCATGCTTTGTGACAGTGTTTGATGCGATTTCATGCTTTGTGACAGTGTTTGATGCGATTTCATGCTTTGTGACAGTGCTTGATGCGATTTCATGCTTTGTGACAGTGTTGATGCGATTTCATGCTTTGTGACAGTGTTTGATGCGATTTCATGCTTTGTGACAGTGTTTGATGCGATTTCATGCTTTGTGAGTGTTGATGCGGCAGTGTTGATGCGATTCATGCTTTGTGACAGTGTTTGATGCGATTTCATGCTTTGTGACGAGTTTGTGACAGTGTTTGATGCGATTTCATGCTTTTGACAGTGCGATTTCATGCTTTGTGACAGTGTTGATGCGATTTCATGCTTTGTGACAGTGCTTGATGCGATTTCATGCTTTGTGACAGTGTTTGATGCGATTTTCATGCTTTGTTGTTGATGCGATTTCATGCTTTGTGACAGTGTTTGATGCGATTTCATGCTTTGTGACAGTGTTGATGCGATTTGACAGTGTTTGATGCGATTTCATGCTTTGTGACAGTGTTTTGATGCGATTTCATGCTTTGTGACATGCGATTTCATGCTTTGTGACAGTGTTGATGCGATTTCATGCTTTGTGACAGTGATGCGATTTGCTTTTGCTTTGATGCGCACAGTGTTTGATGCGATTTTCATGCTTTGTGACAGTGTTTGATGCGATTTCATGCTTTGTGACATATTGCGATTTCATGCTTTGTGACAGTGTTGATGCGATTTCATGCTTTGTGACAGCGATTTCATGCTTTGTGACAGTGTTTGATGCGATTTCACAGTGTTTGATGCGATTTCATGCTTTTGTGAGTGTTTGATGCGATTTCATGCTTTGTGACAGTGTTTTGATGCGATTTCATGCTTTGTGACAGTGTTTGATGCGATTTCATGCTTTGTGACAGTGTTTGATGCGATTTTCATGCTTTGTGACAGTGTTTGATGCGATTTCATGCTTTGTGATGTGTTTGATGCGATTTCATGCTTTGTGACAGTGTTTGATGCGATTTCATGCTTTGTGACAGTGTTTGATGCGATTTCATGCTTTGTGACAGTGTTTGATGCGATTTCATGCTTTGTGACAGTGTTTTGATGCGATTTCATGCTTTGTGACAGTGTTTGATGCGATTTCATGCTTTGACAGTGATTTTCATGCTTTGTGACAGTGTTTGATGCGATTTCATGCTTTGT